CACAAGTTTTTGTTTATCTTGTTATTTATTTATTTTTGGTTTTCATATTAATGGAATGCTCATTCTCTAAGTTTCTCCTTCACTATCAAATATGATGCCTGTGTATTTATCACTTGGTTAAGACAAGTGGATACAGATGTAAGAGTTGACTTAGCAAGGACTGGGAAACTTTGTCAAGGACCAGTTAGCAAATATTTGGGGGTTTGTGGGCCATACAGTATCTATTGACACTACTCACCTCTGTTTTTGTCTTGTGAAGGCAGCCATAGGCAATATGAATGTGGCTGTATTCCAATCTGTTATCCATAAAAACAGGGCTGGCCTGAGGGCCTTAGTTTGCTGCCCTTGGCTTAGATCCTCATTTGGAGATGTTCTGTACCAATCTTTAGCCTTGGCCTTATCCGCAAGTGTGATATGATTTCAGGGTCACCAACAGCCTCTTACCCTTATATTTTAACCAAAAATCTTGTTTCCTACTATTTGTGATGCCTAAAATTCCAACTATTTTAGGAAAATTCTTATTTATTCAGAAGATGGCTTTTTATTGAAAACCATGGGTAACCTGTACATATGTAAACTATGATAGATATTTGCTTAGATTTACTCTAAACAGAAATTTCAGATTATAAAGAAACAGGTAATTTTTACTATGCGGGAGAGAGGAGAGTTCTGTAGCCTGGGCTGAAATAATGGGAAGCCCTAAGTCTATTAAAAAGCACGTGCATATAAGGTGGTGCAGTCATTTAACAACCTGTGAGGACCTGCTGCCTAGGAAGCTAAGCGCTTTGCATACAGTCTCTCCTGCCACCAACACCTAAGGTAGAACATACTCTGATCCCCATGGTATGGACAAGGGCTGGGCTTAAGAGAAGTTAATATGCTGAGGGATAGCTGGCTAGAAAGTGCCAAGAGTTGTCATTTATACCCTGGTATTTTTGATGCCAGTCTACATTAAGTGGTCAAGATCAAGGAAAAGCATTTACATGGTTCAACATTGTAGATAGTAAGGCAGGAAAGCACTTTGTTTATTTGGAACTATGTGTAATAGGGAAAAACAAACATTTTTCTCTACCAAACTCTCAACACAGAAGAGCACTTCTGGGTCCAGAATGTGTGAGTTTTTCCCACACTGACTAATTTCTGACACTAGCTAGGTATCTTATAATTCAGTTCAATTCTGTTATTATCTACCTGGAGTTAGTGTCAGAGTCCACAGGTTAAAGAGTCAGTCTTATGGGACTGACTTTGCCACTTGCAAGACCAAGCCTCTGGTACTTCTGATGGACCAGCTATAAATTGGGGGTTCTGAGGACTTCTTCTTGAGTTCCATCATTTACTAGAATGGCTCTCAGAACACAGGGAAGCACTTTACTTACTACTGCTGATTCATTATAAAGTATATTTTAATTTTTTCATAAAGGATATTTTAAACGATACAAATGAATAGCCAGATGAAGAGGTAAATAAGGCAGGATATGCATGAAGGGGTGATAAGCTTCCCTGCCCTCCACAGGTGAGCCACCCTCTACCACTTCCCTGTGTTTAGTAACCTGTAAGCTCTCAAATCCCTCAGAGTTGAGAAGTTTTTATGGAGGCTTTACTACATAGGGATGATCCATTATTCTTCCTGGAAAATGGAGGTGGAGCTGAAATTTCCGAGCATCTAATCATAGTTTGGTCTTTCTACCAGCCCCATACAGAAGCCTCCACCAAGACTTATCTTAATAGAACAAAAGACTCTCTTATCTTCCAGAAAATCCCAAGGCATCGGGAATTAGGGTCAAAGTCCAAATGTTAGAACACAAGATTCTCCTAGAACCCCAGTTGCTTAGGAAATCACAAGAGTTTTAGAGCTCTATGCCAGGAATTAGGGATGAAGACCAAAAAATATATTTTTTATTACAAATCACAATATCACAGACTACTTTTAAAATATAAAACAGGCATAACAAATATATGTCTAAAAGAATCCCTATACATCCTTGACGTTTTCCATCCCTTACCCACTAAAGACTCGGGTCTTGAAGATGACAGCTCAATTTGGATCCCCTTTCTTAACTCCTAAGTTCTCTTAATTATTTCATATTTAGGTAGTGCTTTTAACTTCCCAAAACACTTAGACATATATGCTGCAATGATCCAGTTAGGTTGTTTGGTTTTCTCTACAGAGAGCAAACAATTGGTACAGGAACATTGCAGATACACACTTCTTGTATCCCATAGTCACCATTTTGAAGCTCTGGCTTAACAGCAAAGGTCTGTGAAGATGATTCCTGGAGATAATGTCATACCACAGGAAAGCATCCTCTGAAAATCTAGCTTTGCAGGCATGTAGTTGGGATTGCCTTCTGAACTTTGCATACATACCCATTAATTATTCTCTCTCTGAAGCAGCTTGTAACTGTAGTCTTTGTAAGGAGCACAGGTCAGCTTGAAGCTATTTTGATTTACTTGTTTATTGATCTTGACCAAGAATTCCTTTATTTGAAACTCTTCCCTTAGGAAGTCAATTTGATAACCTTTGCCCATTTATTTTGAAGGTGTCAGTTATAAGTAGTCTTGCCATTGAGAAATGCAGGAGCTAAAATTACTAATAAATTAATTAGAATGTACTTATAAACCCAGTGGAAAGCCAAGAATGAAGTTGCTTTTCTATTGATTATTATACTGGTCATTAACTGCTGAGAAAAATGCCAGTGTAGCAAGCAGAGAACATTGGCCAATTCCTTTGGTAATTGTAGGATTCCGTCATTAGGATTTCAATATTCTGGAAAGTAATTACTCATTCACTCCAACTGTCCACAGTGTGTGGATAAAGTATTTTGGCATTTTGGGTTAAGACTAATGATTTAAGCAGACATTAACTCCCATATAAGATTCTGTCTTGTCACTCAGTGCTGCTTTAAGTCATTTGTGGTCTGCATTCATACTTACAACAAGTATTCTTATATATTAATATGCCAGTCTACACAAGATTTGTATCAAAGTGCTTGAATATTGTGATAGGGAAACCCTTGGAGAGAACCTTCTACCTAGGGTCTCTAATGCCAGCATGCCATTTACAGCAATGTTTCATTTTCATAAGAAGCAAGTAAAATTAGCAGATTATAGCCACTGCTTTTCAGTGAGTGAAAAATGCTCCATGGTTTTTTCCCTTTCAAGAGTCAGCTGTCTGTCAGCCACATTGAAGAAGAATAGGTAGTATCCGTAAATTATTAGTCAAAGATCCCTGGCTATCAGTATCCCAAGTTAAATAAAAGAGCATTATGGTGACATGACTTGGCATCACAGAACACGAATTTCTACTCTAAGAGAGATAATGAAAGATGTCAGAACCCAGATACTAATAATGCCACCTTCTCCACTGCAGTCTCTCCCTGATTGTATGTGTACATCTGTAAATCAAGGAAAGCTCCCCGTAGTCTTTCCCTATCATGGAATGAGTTTCGCTGGGTTCAGGAGATTTCCACCAGCAGCAGAAGCTGAAGACTATTGCGCTAATAATGCCTGGCATCCTGGCATTGTAACTGATCATTGTTGGTCTTTTCATGTCTTATAACTTGAATCTGAATAACTCTAAGATGGTCTTGCACAAATCAAGGGCATAGCCCTAGTTTTAAGGATTGTTATTCCTGTTTTCTTCAATTCAAAAACCAAGGTCCAGAGAAGAACTAGGTTATTTTATTAAGGTTACAGAGTTAGTAATGTATGCTGGAAATTGCTAAAAGAATATATTTCAAGTGTTCTCCCCTGCACACACAAAAAAACAAAAACCAAAAACTAAATGAGAAGATGGATGTGTTAATTTGCTTCAGCATGGCTGGGTGCGGTGGCTCACACCTGTAATCCCAGCACTTTGGGAGGCCAAGGCGGGTGGATCACGAGGTCAAGAGATCAAGACCATCCGGGTCAACATGGTGAAACTCCATCTCTACTAAAAATACAAAAATTAGCTGGGCGTGGTGGCACATGCCTGTAGTCCCAGGTACTTGGGAGGCTGAGGCAGGAGAATTGCTTGAACTCAGGAGGCGGAGGTTGCGGTGAGCCAAGGTCACACCATGGCACTCCAGCCTGGGTAATAAAAGCAAAACTCCAACGCAAAAAAAAAAAAAAAAAAAAAAAAAAAAAATTTGCTTCAGCGTAGTAATTATTTCACTGTGTCATATGTATATCAGAACATGATGTTGTATATTTTAAATATACAGTTGTCCCTTAGTATATGCAGGGAATCAGTTCCAGGAATCTCAAATATACAAAACTTTGTTCACACTCAGTTCCTTCAGTTGGCCCTGCAGAGCCCATGTATATGAAAATTTGACCTTCTGGGGCTTTACATCTTGAGAATAAAAATCCACCTATAAGTGGGCCTTCGCAGTTCAAACCTACGTTGTTCAAGAGTCAAGTGTATACAATTTTTAGTTTCGATAAATGTTACAAAGTTAAGGATCAAATAAAAATGGAGTGATTCCAGCCTGGCATTCTTTCCACTAAATCTTTTGGAAATATTAGAGAGGATACTGATTCAATAAAAATTTCACTTTACCATGTCAGAAAAAGGACAAAAGAGAACAAAAGGATTAATACTATTGTCTGGACAGATGTTCTTTGCATAGAAGAGAAAGGTGATAATTAGTGGTTAACTACTAAAAATGTATAATAAAAATAATGAATCAAAGCTGTATCTATGAAGCTGTGCCAGTCTGTAACTTTTAATGATTGATGGCAACTTTTGTTATTATTCTATTGAAATGAGACCAACAGATACAAATTACTATGCTCTTTACTAGAATATAATAAGTCCCTTGACAACAGGGACCAACTCCTAAAAGTTAAAGGTCAGGGAAGCTACAGCAGCCCCTCCTGCCTGTAGCAGGAGAAAAAAAAAAAAAAAAAAAAATGACTGTACTTACTTTCCCTTTTCTTGTGCCTACTAGCCTGAAGAACTTAATTTATAGATCCTCAAGAGATACTCAGGTATGACTGTTTTCTTCTTTATTTAGTTGTCTCTTTTGATGCCAAGATAAACTTTGATGACAACGCAGAATTCCGACAAAAAGACATATTTGCTATGGACGACAAATCAGAGAATGAACCCATTGAAAACGAAGCTGCCAAATATGATCTAAAATACATAGGACTAGATGGGAACATTGCCTGCTTTGGTAAGAAGCAGTTATATCAAAAGAATGCTTTGTGGATTTTTATAGAATTTAGGAACTCTTGATTTCTGAAATGTCATTTACCAAGAAGAAGTAAGCATACAAGTTTTTTTTTTTCTTTCTTTCTTTCTTTTTTTTTTTTTTTTTTGGTGGCTGAAAAGTCTTAGGAAACAATCCAAGTGTCTTCTCAAAGTTTGTTCTGATTAATGGTCACTGGTTTAAAGCAGAATTTGGGTGGGATAATTATTTGCTATTTTGTACATCATAAAATGTTTAGCATCCTAACCTCTAGATCAGGCGTCCCCAAACTTTTTACACAGGGGGCCAGTTCACTGTCCCTCAGACCGTTGGAAGGCCGCCACATACTGTGCTCCTCTCACTGACCACCAATGAAAGAGGTGCCCCTTCCTGAAGTGCGGTGGGGGGCCGGATAAATGGCCTCAGGGGGCCACATGTGGCCCGTGGGCCGGGCTGTAGTTTGGGGACGCCTGCTCTAGATACTACTAACAACCCCCAGCTGTGACAACAAACACATATCAGTTAATAAAATAAAAATCTTCGGACATTTCCAAATGGCCATGGGATGCAAAAATCACCCCAGTTGAGAACTACAGATTAAAGCATCTCAGTTAAACTTTGCTTAGTAAAAAGTTAGAATCTTTGCTGCTCAACTCAGTATTAATATGCTGGGAACTCTTTTGAGATTTGTGTTTCAAACAAAATTCCTTTATCTGAGGAAATAGAAGAGGACATACACTTTATTTAATCACTTTACTAAAGTTCTAGCTTCTGTGATAACCAAAGGATAAAATGGTTAATCCATTATGCCAGTTTATTAGTAAAACAATTGATTTCATCACACTCATCTAAATTTGTGAAAATGGTTTCTTCAGCTGAGATAAGAATGAGTCTATAGAGGCAATACAATTTCTATTATTGTTCACAGCTTATAGTGCTCAGATTTATATGCTTCTGACTTAATTGCACAAGACTGTGTTTCTGGTAGAACCAATTCATTGTACTGGAAACTGAGGTCTTAATCTTAATGAAATTAAAATAAAAATGATTTGTAGCTCATTAAACCAACAATATCATTATATTCAGAACTGAAGAGACCTCATCCAAGAGTTTGCTGTTCAATACAATAGAAAATGACATTCAATTACAAGTGATACCAAAAGCCCTTGCTTTGTTTTGGAGCAGTAACTATAATGTACCAGATCACTCACATCGTTCTGATCCTGATAAGCTAATACACTCTCAGTGTTTGTAGGCATTTAGAAAGGGGAAAGGTATAATGATGGGTTTAAAACAAATTAAATACAGATTATTTATAACCTCTGTAGGAATGTGCATGGTTTGACCATGTAGCAGCCTAAACATTTATGATTTACACATTTCAAATTGTTTTCAGATTCTGTATAAACTATTTTTATTTTAGTCACTCCATACTTAATTAGTCACAGTTCATAGGTTTTTCTAGGGAATTGGAGGGTCAGAAAAATGAAGGACACTTTACCTTGCGAGTTTCTGCTGTGTTCAGGAGATTTTTTTTCTAACCCGAGGAAAGTAATTTCATATAATTAAGCATAAGAAGCAAAAGAAGTGCAATTGATCAATAAAACTTAGCTCTGGAAAACAAGAATTTTGATGTTTAAAACTCTACCTACACTGTCTTAAGAAAAGTTCCTAAGATGTTGGCACGTTTTGGTTCCAGTTTTAATGGTTGGGTTGCTGGTAAGCATTGCTTATGTTAATTTGAAAGAGGAGCAAGGGGATAGGAATATTGTTTTTGGGCTGTCATTTGTTCATTTATTTCTAAGTTTATCCAGGTAACATTGTATAAACATGCATGACTGTACTAAGTGTAAAAAAGTATAAAACCCCACTGAAGTTGGGACCCCTGTGGTTCAATCCTAGAGATGCCACATTCAAAGGAGCATATTCTCAGCAAGCAAAACATTAAGAGAATTCCATTCTTAATTCCTGTCTTTTAAAGTATATTAAAAACAATGTAATTTATAGATCCTAGAAACTTATCATAGCTTGTTTCTCTGCCTCTTGACACTTTCCATAACCTAAAACTCTCTTCTTTACTGCTGATCCAAATCAGTTACTTAAACCTTTTCTTCTTTCTGTTTCTCTGATTGATTTAACTTCTCAGTAAATCCTCTTTCTCATTCCCAAGTCTTTTTTGTTTCATTGTTTGCATATACACGTCCTGATTCTTTATCCTAAAAGTCTATGAACTTATCTGGTTGAATGGAATACCAAACAGGACAGAAATTGGCCTGGCAATGACAGAGTTCTCTCTTGGCAATATAGGGGAGGGAAAATGTTTATGGACTATTTCATATTGCTAAATGTAGCCTGTCTTGTGTCCCATTTGCATTTCACAGTGAATGGTGCTGGGCTCGCCATGGCTACTTGTGATATCATTTTCCTTAATGGTGGGAAGCCAGCCAACTTCTTGGATCTTGGAGGTGGTGTAAAGGAAGCTCAAGTATATCAAGCATTCAAATTGCTCACAGCTGATCCTAAGGTAACCTTTCTCTTTGTAGGGAGATTTTATGCTGGTTTAATTTCTCATCATCAAGAGCTCACTTGTTCCTCCTGCCAAGAGTTGATAAGTCAGTATGTCTGCTTCGCAGCACTAGATGCCACTTCTACTTTATATCGCATTGGAATACATGATGATTTAACTCTAGTCTTGAGTGAAAGGCTTATAAACACCTCCTGAGATCCTATTTCAGAGGTTGTATGTACAGTCCTGAGAGGTGGAAAGAAGTAAAAATGTTACAATGTGCCAGTTGAAACATTGATTGGCACCAACTTTATTTGGGTAATTTACACAGAAGTGACTGATCCTATGCTTACATGATTTAGAGGGAAGTCATACTATGATTCCTTCCTAAAGATGCTGAAGTTATTACCAAATATTGGGAAATTTGGGGGTTATACGATCATATATCGCTGAGAAATAATAGCCCCACCTTCTTTTGTTTGCTTTCTAATTTTCATCTCTGACCATTAGTTTGTAACACATGCACTAAGCAGCAAATAACTGTACCTGGTTTCATAGTTTCTGCTGCTGCTTCATGTGCATCTTTTGACTTGAACATAGCTAACTAGAATGTAGCTGCCATACCCATGCTAGGAGGAGTATGGGCATTCAGTTAATATTTAATCAGTTAGTTTAGTAACAAAGCTAAATATCAGCATGCTTTGTTTCACCTGTAGGTACTCAGTTGACTATAACGTGGTTTTAGGTAGATGTTTATTACATAGAAAGATCAAAATATTTTGAAAGTCTAATGTATGTGGTTTTTATTTCATTCCTTTAACAGGCCTTTGAAGTAGGCATATGTCACAACAATTTGATAGAAAAGTTTGTCTTTAATTTTTTGATTTTTTTTTTTTTAGAGACAGGGTCTCATTCTGTCACTCAGGCTAGAGTACAGTGGTGTCAACATAGCTCACTATAGCCTCCATCTCCTGGGACCAAGCTATCCTTCCCCCACAGCTTCTTGAGTAGCTGGGACTATAGATGCATGCCACCATGCCTAGCTAATTTTTAAATTTTTTGTCTCACCATGTTGCTCAGGTTGGTCTCAAACTCCTGGCCTCAAGTGATCCTCCTACCTCAGGTTCTCAGAGCTCTGGAATTACAGGCATGAGCCATCACAATTGGCCTAAACTTTGAGAATAATTGTCTCAATATTGTTAGAGTATCTAATAAATTGAGTTGGTTACTAAAATAACTGAAGATGTGGGAAATCTGAATCATTACTAAGAAAACCATAAATGAAAATAATACCAGAAATTTTAAAAAAGAAATGTGTTCTGAATTAAATATGGAAGCTTCTCATTAATAAATAAACTGGCAATAGCCTGTTTTGTTTTGCATATATAAAATTTTGTCTTATGTTGGTAGTACACTTGTGTTTTCCTCATGACTTAGATAGTTGGTGACCTGATGTTTTTGGTTATGCTTTTCTTCTGACTCATTAAATAGACAGCAAGGTATTTATTAGCACTTATCTTCAATTCTCCAGTGTTGTTGGAATAGCAAAGTTATTGAAGTTCAAAGGCAGCCAGCCATGAGGAAAGCATTTGCAAAACGAACGATGTTTCCACTTACATAAGCACTTTGTTTTTATCGGTTAGGTAGAAACACCTTATGAGTGGCTCTCTAATCATGTATTAATTCACTCATTCTATCTTCCTACTACTTTCTAAGGGAAGAATCATTTTCCTCCCAGAGATTTACAAACCAATTGAAATCTATGAATACCAAGACACACAGCTCCTTAAAGCTGCTTGAACCACAAAGCACCCAGAGGACAGATGACTATAATAAAATACTGAACTTTTAGCATCTACTGAAACTCAGTGCAAAGAATAATAGAGAGCCACTGAGAGATTAAATCTACAAGGACAATCACTGACTGTTTGTTGAAATAGCTTTTCTTAGTGGCTTACCTCAAATTTTAATTTTGTAAAACTATAGGGTGGGGTGGGAGAGTGGAAAAATTGCTGCCAGAGCCATTTAAAAAAAAATTCTTTTCCAAAATGTTGACTTTATGGAATATTTTCAAATGCTTGGATTATTTCAACTTTTTTTGAGATTAGCTGTCATCTTGGGTAGATAAAGGTATGTGGGAGTTATTTTATTTTTCTCATGCTATATCAGGAAAATGAATGCACAGCTCATCTCACAGTACTTTTTCCAAATCTTGAAATTTTAAAACCGGTTAAAAAGCATAGAAATATAATGAGTATTTTCAATCCTGGCTTCATTTCACAAAATTTAGAGAACAGAACCTAAAAAATAGTATAGATGAGTTGATGTGATTTTGCGAGGAAACTGGCTATAGTTTTGGCAGTAATTATTTCATGTAGAACTCTGTATACCTGCCCAAAAGTAGAGGTTCCTGAGAGCTCAATGCTAATTATTTCAAAGACAATTGATTATCTTTGTTAGATATAAGGATTAGTTAGTTGAATACACAGAAAGTCAGAATTACGAAACACTTGTTTTCATTAAACCCTTTTCAATTGATATTAACAACTACTTTTTGCAGTATGTCTAAGATAATTCTGTTGATTAGTAAACAGTATCATTCAATAAAGATATTACAGGTTAACATATATTTCCACTCATAATGTCAGTCATAGAGCTGAAAATTTAACTTATTTTGCTTGATTGTTAACTCAAATGCTGATTTTTACTTGGACCTAAGTTGTGGAGATACACAAGTATCTCTACAACTAATGTGTTTCTTGCTATTTTATCATATATATGAAATGAATTTCCTCTACCAAGCTGACTAAAATAAGAATCTTTTCAAGATAACTCACTTACTAAACTGAATTCAGATGAAGTGTATCAGTAAATATTTTATAATTCTCTTATTTTCCTGCTGAGCTTGAGATGAGAGAAAAATAATAGAGTTTGTTCTGCTGGTGGTCTTCATCATTTTGATTTAAAGAATTCTAAGCATTAATATTCTTTAAATCATAAGGAGAAAAAATGATACAAAATAGAAAACAGAAGTAGAGTTTTGTGGTTTTCTGTTAAGAATCTGAAGACGTTTAAAGGAAAAGCACGATATAGAATGTTATCCTTGGGTTTTTATTTTCCACATTTAAGTCTGGTTTCTATTTTAATGAATTTAGAATTCCAAAGGTGTAGCAAATGTAACATCTGGAATATGTTGTGTTCACTTACACAAAACACCATGTGTTCACTGACATGAAACATCTTGTGAAGTGAATACGAGGAAAGGATACTTGGCACAAATCTCCCCGATGACCCCAACTCTGTTAAGCAAATCTTTTGCCCTCTGGAGGCCTGATTTTGGAAAGCAAAAGTACATAATTGGCATTAGTAAAAGCAGCTCATCGTATTTGATTGTACTTCCTGGTTTAGATCCAACTTTGAGTCATATTTTCAAAGTCCTTGAAATATCCATGAAGAAATATGCTGCCTAAGCAGCAAGGACAAGTTGAAGAATGGAAGGGACTCTTAGCGGGGTTCTCAGGCCAGGCTGCCTGAGTTCCAGTCTTGTCTTTGTCAGTTACTGGTTGTGGGACCTTGGGCACGTTATTTAACTTCTGTGTGCCTTGGCATCCTCATTTATAAAGTGGTGGTAATAACAGTACTTACCTCAGAGGGTTGCTTTATTACACAAATTGAGATGCACATGCACACTTTCCATTTAGAGGGAAAATAGTTTCATATTTTGAGATTAGCTGTCATCTTACGTAGCTAAAGGTATGTGGGAGTTATTTTGTTTTTCATAATAAAATTTTAATTTCACTTAATTTAATAAAATTTTGTTAAAGTATAATCTACATAGTGTATACAAATTTTAAGTATACAGCTTGGTGAATTATTTAAGTAAACATATCATCTAACCTCCAATCAGATGAAGAAATAGACCATGACGGGCATCCTGGAAGCCTCCTCATATAGTCCCCCTCATTTTCCTATCCTGATTTCTCCCCAAAGGTAATTTTTTTTTTTTGAGACTGAGTCTTGCTTTGTTGCCCAGACTGGAGTGCAGTGGTACAAGGGTAACTGCAACCTCCACTTCCCAGTTTCAATTAATTCTTCTGACTTAGCCTCCTGTGTAGCTGAGACTAAAGGCATGTGCCACCATGCCCAGCTAATTTTTGTATTTTTATTAGAGATGGGTTTTACTTTGCTGCCCAGGCAAGGGGTCCTCCCACCTTGGCCTCCCAAAGTACAGGGCTTACAGGCAGCAGCCACTGTCCCCGGCCCCCAAAGTTAATTTCTAATATCACAGATTTGTTTTGCCTATTTTTAAACTTAATGTCATTGGAATCATATACTGTATTCTCTTTTATATTTGCTATCTCTGGTTAGTCTTTTCAATTTTAGTCATTCAGGTAAGTATGAGGGATTATCTCACTATAGCCTTTCTCTCATGACTAATGAGGTAGAGCACCTTTTCGTGTACATATAGGCCATTTGAATACACTTCTTTAAACTTCTATTGCCCCATCTGTAGACATAAAAATAATACCCTAAAGCATAGTTGTAAGTACCAACTTGCACATCTTTCTAAAACACAGTGCAAACTTTAGTTTTTTTTTAATATTTTCTGAGTGTTTCATCCCATGATCACTTCCAAAACAGATTTAGAATAAATTCACATCTACAGAAATGGGAGGTGTATGATACAGGTTCAGTGATAATCAGTGTTACTGCATGTGTTGTTTTGAAATTGATGGAAGGTGTAAGTGACTCAGTATCTTACAGTGATTCTCTGCTTAGACAACCAAGGAAACAATTTAATAAAGGGAGGATTACATTCATTTTTGAAAGAACAACAAAATATCATTTGTTATAAACTTGAGAAGAGGCCAGCTCTTTTGGTGCTCTGTGGTATATGCTTCAGAAACTTTAGAATATGAAGCCAGAGAAGTAAAACTGCCTGCCGTATTTTCATTATCAGGTATATGCGAATGCTTTACATTTTAATAAATATATTTTAGGATTCATTTGTGCTGTCT